CACCCAGTGTTCAGGTACCCACACCTCCTTCCGAAGATACTCGACCTCCCATTGTTCAGGTATATCATAGGCGTCAAGAACGACCAGATTCTCCACCAGTGTCATCTTCGTCTGCAGATCCATCAGTACCTGTTCAATCAGACTCCGATCATGACATTCCTATTGCGCTTCGTAAAGGTAARCGTACCTGCACTTATCCCATTGCGTCTGTTGTTTCCAATGATAAACTCTCTAGATCCTCCCGCTCTTTGGTCTCTACTCTAGATTCTGTACGTGTTCCAACCACAGTTGGTGAGGCTTTGGCCCATCCTGGATGGCGGGATGCTATGCTTGATGAACTCAATGCTCTTGAGCACAATGTCACTTGGGATTTGGTAGAGTTACCTGTTGGCAATCGGGCAATTGGTTGTAAGTGGGTATTTACTGTGAAAGTTAATCCTGATGGCTCGGTGGCTCGGCTAAAAGCCCGCCTGGTCGCAAAGGGGTATGCTCAGACTTATGGCATTGATTATTCTGAAACCTTCTCTCCGGTTGCAAAGCTATCCTCTATCCGGCTTTTTATCTCCCTTGCTGCTACTTATGGTTGGCCTCTTCACCAGTTGGATGTGAAAAATGCATTCTTACATGGTGATTTACTGGAGGAAGTTTACATGGAGCAACCTCCGGGTTTTGTTGCTCAAGGGGAGTGTGGTAAGGTCTGTAAACTACGAAAGTCTATACGGCTTAAAGCAGTCTCYTCGTGCCTGGTTTGGTCGATTTAGTTCGGTAGTGACTAAGTTCGGCCTACGACGGAGTTCGTGTGATCACTCAGTGTTCTTCGCTTCATCTGACTCTGGATGCATTCTATTAGTGGTCTACGTTGATGACATTGTGATTATTGGCAGTGACAGTAATGGAATTCAGCGATTAAAGGATTTTCTTGCATCTCAATTCCAGACCAAGGATCTTGGTCCTTTAARATACTTCTTGGGAATCGAGGTATCCAGAACTCACAAAGGAATTTGTTTATCACAGCGTAAATATTGTCTAGACATCTTGAATGATTCTAGTATGATTGACGCAAAACCTTATGAAGCTCCTATGATCCCAAACGTGAAACTAAAAGCTGATGATGGGGATCCTCTTGAAAACCCAGAAAAGTATAGAAGAGTTGTGGGAAGGCTGAACTATCTGACGATCACACGCCCTGATATTGCTTTTCCGGTAAGTGTAGTAAGCCAATTTAWGTYATCTCMAAGAACCGCACATTGGGACGCCGTCTGTCATATTCTGAAATATCTGAAGGGAGGTCTGGGTTATGGTATCAAATACCAAAACCATGCTCATCACGACATAGAAGGATTTACGGATGCCGATTATGATGGAGACCCTACAAGCAGACGATCAACAACAGGCTACTRCGTCTTCGTGGGAGGAAATCTGGTGTCATGGAGAAGCAAGAAACAAAGTGTTGTATCGAGGTCGAGTGCAGAATCTGAATACCGTGCAATGGCTCAAACCACCTGTGAATTGATATGGCTACGTAACCTTCTGGGTGAGATTGGATTCAGTCAGTCGAAACCAATGCATTTATGGTGTGACAATGAGGCAGCAATTCATATTGCAAACAATCCAGTGTTTCATGAGAGGAAGAAACATATTGAAGTAGATTGTCACTTCATTCGGGAAAAGCTAGAGGATGGTTCTATCTCAACTCCTCATATTCGAACCAGGGATCAATTAGCCGATGTCTTCACGAAAGCACTACCCGGGAGTCGAATCACTTATATTTGTAGCAAGCTGGGCATGATCAATATCTATGCTCCAGCTTGAGGGGGAGTGTTAGAATATATTGTAAATATTATGTCTGTTTAGGGTTTCTGATGGGCCGTACGGGCCTTTGCTTATTTGGGTTTGGGTTTCTTATTTGTGTCTATATATATACACGCCTCTCCTTTGTAATTAATTATTCAGTAAATAAGAATACTTCTTCTCTCTGTCCCTCTGATCACAGTATATATAAAGGTTTTTATCCCTTTATTATGGAATTATTAGAATTGAAATAATTTTCTCAATTTATTCTTCATATATAAACTCTTTTTTCTTTATAATTACACTGTTGCATGTGTGTGGGTGCATGGGTAAGTTAATGTAGACACCCTTGTGAATTATTCTTAATGTTTTACATACTTGAGCTACTCCTCTTAAATGTTTGGACTTGATCAACTTTTCTTGTGATGCAGACCAATAAACTGTCAAAGAACAACCTCATTGGGTACTGTGAGATTGATATTTTCGAATTTCTCAGTCAAGTGAGTTTTTCCAGATTTATATAGTTAGAATATTAGTTGAAATATTTTATGCACCTCTATCTTTATACAATATGTATATTTTTCTCAATATATATGAATGGGATACTGGAGTTCTTCCTGGATGTTTGTCATTTTGGTTTTCCCGCGGCAATAATACAATTAATTGTGCTTCTTGATGGTCATGAAATTTCGTCTAATTGCTTTTACAAGTTCAACAGCTAAACCCAAGTCCCCAACCTCTCGCAACAAAACTCAAGAAAACAAAGCACTGCTAAAGATTGATATGCATAATAGTTCACATCATTAATTTCTGCGAAGCAGTTGATATTTGGTCACTATGTATTTCCTTCATAAGAAATTCTACAGAAACACAGACATTAACAAGGTTGTTAAGAATCTAATGGGAAACAATGGAAATCCGTCCATGACTGTTTTATCTTTTAATTAGGAGAGTTTGGTAGTAATTTGAATTGCTTCATTTCCCTCAAATAAAGGTCAGCTAGTTAGTGGTGTCTCGCTATAAATAGTGGGTGTTTTTTGTTTCCTTAATTCATGCGATTAATAAGAGAAGACTTATTCTCTTCTATTCATAATTATATATATAGTATCAGAGCATTTCTGATTCATTATTTAGTTTTCTGAAAGTCACCAAATAAACTAATGGCGAAATATGGCCGCACATCCTTAGTCAGTGAATCAGAAAGTGCCACCTCTGATTCAACCAAACAACATACAATGTCGAATACCACTCTATCAGAAAGCGGGATCACTCCGATCACCGGTCACATTCTTCGTGATAATTTTCATAAGCGGAAAAGGAAAGGAAGAGTATTTGACAGGAGCAACCTCACCACCGAAGGAGGATATTCTAGACTATCTCACATGAAAGACGGAGAATAACATGGTAATGTCTTGGCTTTTGAATTCAATGACTAATGAAACAGGCAAGAACTTTATGTATTACCAGACAACCAAGGAGATATAGGAAGCAGCTCGAGATACATACTCCAATAAAGATAACGCCTCTGCAATCTTTGAAATAAAAGGAGTATTGTACAAAGTTACGCTAGCAAGAAAGAACCTTAATGGAATTATTGGAATACTTCAACTTGTTGACTCGTCTCTGGTAACAGTTGGATGTCTTGGAAGATATTTAATGGAGCTGTCCCACCGATATGAAGAAATACAAATAGATCCAAGAAAAGGAGCAAGTTTACGAATTCTTGCTTGGTTTAAATCAACACCTTGATGAGGTCAGAGGAAAGATATTGAGTTGTAAGCCCTTACCAAGCGTACGAGAAGCCTTGAAAGTTCGTAGAGAAGAAACACGAAGAAAAGTGATGTTGGGATCAACAACCATTGAACCAAACACAGAAAGCTTGGCGTTGGCGGCCAGAAGACAAAACACTAGCACGTATCAGGCTAACCAACAAGGAAATTATGGCCCAAAACAACCACAAGGGAACTTCCGCAACAATGAAACCAACAATTGGCAACAATCAGGTAACCGTCATTGGTGTGACCACTGCAAGATCCCAGGTCACACAAAGGAGATATGTTGGAAACTACATGGAAAGCCCCAAACAAGACAATCATCCCGGTCGTCATGTCATGTGGCAGAAGCAGAAAAAGATCCATTTAATCAAGAACAGCTAGAAATGTTGCAAATGATGTTGCAGTCAACCATTCAACCAACAATGGGGGGAAACGTCACAGCCGCTATGGCTCAAGGTGATCACTCGCCCACTACCCTTAATGCGAAATTAAATATAGGTGAATGGATTGTCGATTGCGGAGCTACAGATCATATGACTGGGAATATTAATGTCTTCATTGAACTTCAACTGAAACCACAGCTCATACTGCTGAAGGGATATTGTCAAATGTGAGGGGTATAGGTTCTGTCATTATCCCAAAAGAGATAACTCTCAACTCAGTTCTCTACGATCCTAATTTTACCTATAACTTAGTATCAAGGTCGGTCCAATGGTTTTGGATGCCCTGGGCGGAGAGTAAAAAAAGGCCCCTCTCTCCCTTTGCTATACTTTCATTATTTGGATTTGATTATTCATTGTGGTGCTTAGATGAAGTTATTACCAGCCATTACAAACTATTTCCACCTAATCTTGATATTGGAACATAGTTCTTTGATATTGGGGGTGTTAATAGTACTCTATACATTTTGTAGTTAATATTCAACATATATTTGAAGCAAATTACACATCCATTTTACACATAGCAAAACAAAACAGGCTCCATGAAGCCATAACATCCTAGTGGTTTACTCATCACGGGACCATGGTTCTTGGGTCTCATACTTGATCTCCACCTACAAAATCCAAATTACACCTTTGTATTCTCTCGTTCAGATTTTATTCAAAGCAAATGTTATATCTAATGGAGAACCCATTTAGAAAATTGATTCCTATTGCAAAGAGCCTCAAGTTAGATGTTTCAT